CCCCCGCTGGTGGAAAAACTGTCTTCCATGTAAGCGGTCCCTGGTGTCAAAAAGGTTGGGGACCACAGACCTAAAATAGTATCTACTATCTGCCACCTAAAAAAAAGTTGTCAATCTCCGATCTAGACTCTAGAAACCAACCACCAGATATTCACTCCAAATAGTACAAGAAGTAGACAGGAGATTTGGGATTCAGGTGTGTGCACGCACGTGCCCTTGTGATTTTTGTACATTTTTTTTATTAAGGTAAAATTCACATAACATAAAATTAACTATTTTAAAGTGAACAATTCAGCAGCATTTAGTATATTCACAATGTTATGCAGCCAGCATTTCTATCTCGTTCTAGAACATTTCATCACCACTGAACTAGAACCCCGATCCCATTAGCAGGCACTCATCCCACCCTCCCCCAGAACCTTGACAACCACTAATATGCCTTCTGTTTCTGTGGGCTTACATATTCTGGATATTTCATATAAGTTGAATCAATTCACTTTACATCATGTTTTTGAGGTTCAATTATGTTGTAGCATGTCTCAGTACTTCATTCCTCTTTAAACTGAATAACATTCCAATGCATGGATATGCCACAATTTGTTTATCCATTCACCCATCAATGAACATTGGGGCCATTGCTATGTTTTGGCTACTGTGAATAGTGCTGTTACAAGCATATGCATAAAAGTATTTGTGTTATAATCTTGGAAAGAACTTCATAAGCATGAGATTAAAACTACAAACTATAAAGGGACCCATGAAAATTTAACTGTGTTCATGTTTAAAACTACCATATGATAAAGAGAAATAACAATACATAAAAATTTAAAAAGACAAGTGTCACGTTAACATCTAGAGCAGGAGTCAGCAAACTATGGCTCACAGCCCAATTCCTGCCAACTGCCTGGCTTTGTAAATAAAGTTTTATTGGAAACAGCCGTTTCTCATTAGTTTACGTGTTGTCTACAGTGACTTTGCACGGCAGCTTTTGCACTATAATGGCAAGGTTCCATAGTTGCCACAAAGATTATATGACCTAAAAGACTAAAATATTTAGTATCAGGCCTTATACAGAAAAAGTTTGTGGACCCCTGCCCTAGAGTATGTACAGAAAGCTCCTACAAATCACTGAGGGTACCATGGGGGTTGGGGGGAAGGAAATAACCCAATTTAAAAAACAGGCAAACAACAGGAACTGTTAATGCACAAAAGAAATAAAATGCATTCAAGAAATATTATAAAAAGAGGCTTAACCTCACTGGTAATTAGGGAAAATACTAAACAATTAAAACATTTGATAATATCCAACCCTGGCAATGGTATGACACAGACGTTTTAGAAGGGCAGTTTGGTGAAATCTATAAAAAAAATGTAATGCACTTGATGTCAACCCACTCATTTTTTTAAGTATTTGCCCTCAGAGAAACACCTGTATTTATGCAGGCTCACATACACCCAAAAGCATTTGGAAAGTTGTTCACTGAAGCATGTACTGTTTATAACAGCAAAACCCAGAATGATTTTAGTACATTTTTATTTAATACCATAAAAAGAGTTGTAAGACGTGTTACCAACCAGAAAAAAAATAATGCTGCAAATAGGTCCATACAGGTGCAGTTAAAAAAGGCTTTAACTGAGTATTTGAGTCCATCTGTACACAGAGAAGTGCCTAGGGGAGCTGAAGGGTGAATGCTGGCCTGTGGACAGGGGTGGGACTAGAGGGTGCCAGGACAAGTAACAACAGACTGTTGCTCATTACTCATCCTGGATCACTCCAAATTCCAGTGGGGAGGAAAGAGTAAGGAACTCCTCTGCTCCAAGTCAGTAATCTCAAGGTCCCTGGTGGGATACCCAAGGCCTGGCCTCCTAGACATCTTTTGTAACATATCATCTTGACATGATTCTCCTCACCATGTGTTTATGGGATGGCCACTGTAGCCCCTTAATATGAGTAGGGGACAGAACAGTGGATGAAGAATCCTGACTGTGTCCCTGCACTGGGCAAGCTGCTACCTTCTCTGGGGTTCAGTGTTCTCATGGTTAAAAGTAGTTTGGCTGATCTTAAATCTCTTCCAGGTCTAATTCTACAATGCTGTTCCTGGGAGAGGTTTCTGGACCTCTCTGGGGGGAAAACAAACAAAATCCAAAGCTGTGGAAAAAAGCTCGAGTCTCAAAGAAATGTCTGCCCCTGGGACGATGACATCCCAGGGCAAAAGCCCATCTCACTGCCTCACTGATCTCAGTGCCCTCACCTCTTAGAGAGGAGGTAGCCTTAATTATCGCTGATCTATCTTCTAGTCTTGATGGTCTAAAATAAACTCAGGGCAGGGAAGGGAGCAGGAAGCAGGGACTTGGGGGAGACTGATGGGAATCAGTTGCTTGAGGTTTTCTAAAGGAGCCATGAGGATGAGAGTAGTAAGGCGGGGTGGGGGGACACAACGGATGCAGAGAGCAGCTAAGGCTGTTGGCCAACAGCCCTGAGTCTCCCTCCTCTTTTCAAGAGCAGTTTCTTCCTGAAAGATCCCAGAAGGTAGAAGGCTGACCTGATCTCACCCAGCACAAACAACGCCACTCATTATTTCAGAAACTACCATTCCAGTTGTGCCCTGGAACTTAGGTCTGTTTTAAAACCCACAATTCAACTGTCAGTACAGTGAAAGAGGAAAGTACTTTAAATTCGTGACCCCACTCCTTTGAATCAAATAATAGACTTTTTAAAATTTCTTAACAGATTTAACCCAAATATGAAGATTCCATCCTAATTTATCTAAGCTTAAGGATCAGAAAATAAGTACCCAATTTACCAATTTTGGCAGCTGCCTGAAATAACCAGTAAACTCTCTCAGAATAACCCTTGCTGCCCTGGTGGGTAACTCAGTTGGTTAGAGCATTGTCCCCACATGCCAAGGTTGTGAGTTCAATCTCCAGTCAGGGCAGATACAAGAATTAACCAATGAATGCATCAATAAGTGGAACAACAAATTGTTTTTCTCTCATCCTCTCTCTCCCTAAAAAGAAGAAAGAAAGAAAAAAAGAAAAAAAAGAACAAAGCTTCCCAAGATCAGGAACTTCCTAAATCCAAGTTTACTATTCTATTGGTGGTTTTTGTTTGTTTTTTAAATTGTAAAACAAAGTCTAATATCAATCCTTCCTTTTCAAAATAGCCTGGTGAGTCAGGTAAGCCAGAGATCTCTACTCTCAATTTATAGAAAAAGAAATTAACAATACAAAGACAAAAGGGACTGTTCAAGGTCACGTAGCTGAAAGTGACAGCCAAGACTAGAAGCAAGATCTCCTGACTCCTGGTCCAGGATCCTCATCACCACATAAACTGCTTCCCAGAAAAAGGCATCCAGTCAAGAAGAGGTAATCTCCCTTATAAGCCCAACCCACAGCACAGAACACCTTACCAGGAAGCAGTTCTACCCTTCCCAAGCTGACCTGGCTCTTCTGTCCTAACAATCCTATGACTTTGCAGCCTTCAGCATTGGGTTAAGCTTTTTTTTTTTTTTTTTAAGATGAAAGGAGTCTTTTCCTGGCCATTGGGAACCTGACCTCAGAGGAAGGCATTAAGTCCCAGCACAAAACTCTTGCCCTGCCACACAACTCTCCACTTTCCTCAGCTACATAAACAGGTCAAACCCTGTGAGTACTTAAGTAGCATTAAAAACAGCCAGGCGGATGAACTTCAAAGCGTTATCTCCTTTCTAGGGGTTCTTCTGAAATAGTAGGGGCTTAAACTAGCCCCCCCAACTCAGAAGGAAATGGACAAAGAGCTCCCTTGGCCTCCTCATTCAGGAGCACCAAAGGAAGCTCTGTAAAGGAATGAGACTGGTGGAGAGGGCAAGGAGGCACACAGACTTACCCCAAGGGGTTGCAGACAAGGCTGCTACAGGAAATCCAAGAAATCCGAAAGTCCCCAAGACCGCCAGAGTTCCAGAGAACCCAGGAACACAGGCAGCTCAGGCAGCAAGGCTCCCAAACGCCAGTGGGGACAACAGCCCAACTTCCTGGGGAGCTGTTACCAATACAAATTCCCTCATCTCCTACATCACTCCAGGGATGGAGGGTGGGAGGGCAGGACTCTGTATTTTTAAAGACTGTGACTCTGAGGCAGGTTTGGGAGCTCCTGAACTATCCTAATGACCTCCTTTGACAGATAAAGCAAGAAGCAAACCGACTTTCCGCAGGACCCACAAGTCTCCTTATTCCTTGCCAAACGACTGGAGAGCTGGGCCGGTCGAGGCGGGGAGCAGGGAGGGGGAGCCCCAGCCCTACGGCCTCCAGTTTAAGTTCAAGAGCAAGACCCTGCTCTGCAGACTTCAGGACCCTTCACCTCTCGAACCACTGACACCGACAACGACAAACAAGGAAGGCAGTCCGGGTCTGGTAAGGGGAAGCCACAGTCCCCCGGCCGACTGGGCCCCTCTGGGCAGACAAGTCTAAGTTCGGTCCTGAAACAGACTCTGCGGGGGTCCGGTAAAGCAGCAAAACATCCTAAAGCGCTTTGTTCCTAGTAAGAAAAACCAGGCATTTTTGAGTCACCCAAAAAGCATGAATCACACGGCAGGGCTATGGGAACGGGAAAGGATGTTATTTTTCGGCATACTTGAGGATTTTCCCTTTGTCCCGAGTCTATCAATACACTTCTCGACCTCCCCCCAACTCCACCCTCTCCCTCCCCCAAGGACTCACGCACATTTTCCCTAGGAGCCTTCAGATGCACCCCCACCCCCGCCCGCCTCGGCAAGAGGGCACCGTCTGCTCTCTTTACTGTAGCAGGGCTGTGGTCTCACAGGCGTAGGGACCCGGGGGTGGGAAGAGCGGGGAGGCGCCGACGCCCCGGGCGAGGCACTCGCGCGCTCCACGGCCGACCCCTTGAAACACCCAGCGCGGCGTCCGCGCGCCTGGTAACTTCCAGCCCAATGGGGACGCCGGCCGCACTGCGCTGGGCCCGGGTCTCCGTCTCCCGGGCAGCCCTGGGACCCCCGCCCGTTCACCTGCGTCAAGTCCTCGTCGTTGAGCAGATGCGACTCGCGAGGCTTGAAGCAGTTCTGACACTTGCTCTTGTTGAAGATGTTGGCCTGGAATTTCCTGCACGGGTTCTCCTTGGCCGCCGACATGGTCGGGGCGGCGGCGCGGCGAGGCCCGACGGCCCGGTCCGGCGCGCTCCGCGGCGGACAGCGGCTGGAGGGGCGGCGGCACCATGCACAGCAGGCTTGGGAGACTAAGGCCGGGCGCAGAGCGAGCGCCGCGGCAAGCCCTCGCCGGCCGCCGCCTCACAGCCGGGCCGCAGACACAGGCCAGAGCGCGTCCCCAGCAGTCAGGGTGGCTTCGCGGACTCCGGGATGCAGGCCGGGCCTTTCCTCGCACAACAGCACTGCGTTGCACGGTATGCCCGGGCACCTCCACGCCGGGCCCTGAGCCCCAGGCCCTCACAGAGCGCGCGGTCCCCGCCGCCCGCCCGTACAGCCACCGCCCGGGCGTCGGGAGCCCATGGACGCGGCCTTCTGGGCCCGCTGCCTCCCCGCACTCAGGCCCGCCTCTCAGGTACCGGGTCGCTGCGGGTCCCTGCAGTCGGTACCGCCGCCAGCGCCCCAGGCACCCCGCGGCCGCAGCAAATGGTAGCGGACCCTCACGCACTCCCGGGGCTGGGAGGGCGGGTGGGCGGGCGCAGGGGAGGAGGAAGCCTGAGCGCCAGCGCGAGGGGCGGGGCCGCACCCAGACGGGAACGGAGGCCTTGTAGACCAATGGCAGCGCCCAGCTTCAGCTAACAAAGAAACCCCTTGGCCAATGGAAACCAGGGGCGGGGACAAAGGGCAGCCGGGTGTAAGGTATCTTGTGTTTGCGAGGTAGGTGGGGCGCCGGGATGGGACGTTCAGGTTTGGTGGACTGGTGCCGCGGCCCTCAGGGTCCTGACAGCTGCAGGGGCTGGGGCGGGAGCGGGAGCGGGAGCCTGCGGGAGGGAAGGGATGGAATCGACCTCGCGGCAGGCTCTCTACAAACCTCTTACTTCCAACATTGACTTACGGCGACCATCTGGACATCCCAGCCCAGCCTGGAACGGATTGCTTTAACACCTACTATGTGGCAGCCCTCTCACCTCCATCGTAGAAATCATACTCAGCATTCCATACGCATATCCATTAAAGTTGCACAGTCTCTCTATTGTCATCCACATTTTACACACGAGGAAACTGCGGCGCAGAAAAGGTAAGAAATAGGAGGTAGGGTTTCAAGGGATGACTGAAAGAAGATGTCAGCCTCCAACAGCTGTCAGTTCTATTATAGGAGATTAGTGAGGGCTGACTCTGCGCCAGACCCTGAAGTAGGGCCTCACTCCCATTAGGTGCTTGGGGAAATTAAGGCTCAGACTCCCGAATTAACTTGTGCAGTCTCCTGGCCAAAAGACCACCTGGAGAAGAATGTAAAGGAGGCACAGGCAGAATATTCAGGAGCTCAAAGAGGGGAAAATGCGCTCTTTGCGAATATAGGGGCGCTTCAAGGGGGTAGAGAAATTTAAGCAGATAGTGAGAGGTTGAGGAAGAAGGAGTAGGACCGAGAAGGCTAAAAGACTTCATGACTGCCAGATCATTTAGGACCTTGAATTCCAACCTCAGGCATATAAATATCATCTTGCTGGCAGCCAGGAGTCAACCGCTGAAGTCTTTAAACAGGGTGAATGAGCTAACTCAGCCCTTACAGAGGAGGTGACATTGAAGCATGTGTTAGTGGCAGCGACAGCAGCTGTTGCTTAGGGAATGGGAAAGTTCTAGGAGAAGCAGCGAATGCTTCCAGAGCTCTGTACTTTTCCACTGATCATCTGGTGAATATCTCAGAGTGGTAGATTTCAATTTAGTAAGATGCTTTCCTCCAAAGGCAACTAAGGGAAGGTGGATCAAAGTCTTGAGCAGCCTGAGGGAGAAAGAGCAGCTCTACCCCTCACTAACTCTGTGACCTTGGGTAAGTCGCTTCACCTGCCTGCTGCCCCAGTTACCTCATCTACACAATTGGCATGATTGTATGGTTGTTGTGAGCATTACGTGATATAATGCTTATTAATTTGTGAATCTAAACAAAGGGTATTTATTGTACTATTATTGAAAATTTTTGTTGGTTTAAATCTGTGCCAAGTGTGTGTGTGTGTGTGTGTGTGTGTGTGTGTAGTGGGGTAGACAGACAATTCTTGCTTGTATAGAATACTCAGAAACTGATACCAGTGGTGGCCTCTAGGGAGGGAGCTGGGTGGTTGAGAGGTGACCTACTTTTACTTCTCACTGTTAAGTCCTTTTGTTCCCTTTGGATTTGGTATTGTGTGAATGTACAACTTGTTTTAGAACAATTTTTAAGAGTCATACCCATGCCTCAAGGCCAACTCAATGGCCACTTCCCTTAAGAAAATCCTTGGCATGTTCTGCTGAAGTCAGTGGATACATCCACTCCCTGCCTTGCACAGGACGAATCCACAGCTGGGGTTATACAGAAGCATTCGATTCAAGCCTGCCTGGAAGAAGCTTGCACTTGAGCAAGTAGAGGAACAGGAGGCAAACAGACAATTTAATCCAGAATACTATGGAGGTCCAGACTAGGGCACACAGCTGCATACACAGCTTCAGGGACAGCTCCTTAGAGGAAGCAGTGCCTGGGCTGATGGAGTAAGACCCAGCCAGGAGGAGGGAGAGGGAAGGCATTCCAGACAGGTGCTCAGGGTAGAGTCTCAGGGCCTTGAAAGCAATGGGTGTGTCCGTGAGTACAAACACCTTGATGTTACTGGGTAGTGCAGAGAGATGAGAATAATAAGCAATGAGAATGATTGAGAGGATTAAATAGATGGTATATGTGGAGGTTTAGCATATACATGTGAATATCTATTATGACAGATTAGAGCTCAGCCTCTTTAGGGAGATGGGTGTTGTTATTGTATAGTTATTATTTTATCTCTATTTTACAGGAAACACATATGAGGCTTGGGGTATTTAAAGAGCTTACCTGTGGTCAGAATACAGACCCTTTAAGTGAGGGTCAACACCAGAATTGCCTGGGCAATGGAGAACATTAACTCATTTTTTTAAAAGATGAAAATAAGGGCTGTTGGTCTGAAGAATGAATCAGAGGTAGAAGACTGGAAACACGATCGATCAGGAAACTACTACAATAGCCCAGAGAGTAAAGAAGGTAGGGACATGAACTAAGTACAGGGTCAGCAGGAGTAGAAGAGAATGAATATGGGAAATACTTAGGAGGTGGAGTAGCTACATGCAACCTTTCACTGTGCTACTCTCTCAAACTTGACTAGACTTTGAGCACCATGAGGGCAGGACTGGATCTGATTTCCTGCTACAGTTCTAGTGCCTAACTCAGTACCTGGCACAAGGTAGGTTCTCAAAAAGCACACAACAAGTTAATGAATGAAAACTTACTGTTCTGCCTTTTATTGTCATATCTCTCATCCCAGATTATAAAATCCATGTAAACAGGGTTGGTGTTTTATAGTCTTGGGTTCCATTTCCAAGGACCTAGAACAGCATTATGCACAAGGGCCAATAGTGTGAACATGTAAGCATTCATGGGCTGAATACTTAAGATGTGCTTACTTGAGTCCTGGCTGGTGTAGCTCAGTGGCTTGAACACTGGCCTAAGCACCAAAGTGTTGCTGGTTTAATTCCCAGTCAAGTTGCGGGCTAGGTCCCTGGTAGGGGGTACATGAAAGGCAACCACACATTGATGTTTCTCTCCTTCCCTTCCCCTGTCTTAAAAAAAATCTTAAAAAAAAGAAACTTTCCATTAAAAAAAAAGATGTGCTCACTTTATTGTATGTATCTCAATGTACAGTATAATGTACATCTGAAAGAAATAATAAACAAAGAAACAAACATGCAAATGCCACTCAGGTGGGCCCCAAATGCAGCTAAATTCTGCTCTGTGCATCTGACAGCTGCCCTGGAAAATGTCCCTGAATCCTGTGAGGGAGACAAACTTACACACACACACAAATACCACTCTTGCATAAAGCTATAGAACACCCCACATACACACACATAAGCACATACCCACAAAAGTAGCCACTATTTGACCTCTATCACCACAGACTGGTTTGTTGTGTTCTTGAACTTTATATAAGTAGAATCTGCAATCTCTGTATCTGGCTTTTCTCACTCAGTAGGTCTATGAGATTCACTTGACCTGTGTTGTGTGTGTTGATACTTCATGCTGCTAGGTAGTCCATTGTGTGGAAGTACTATACAACAATCCATCTATCCATGCCCCTGTAATTGGCCATTTGGGATGTTCCCAGTTTGGGCTATTATGAATAAAGATCTTAGACCATCCTTCCTTGTGCATGTCTTTTGGTGGACATAAATATGTATGTCTGTTGGGAAAACCCAAGAGGGTGATTGCTGGGTTGTATGGTATCAACCAAAGATCATAGTTATCAATTCAATGACAACAGGCATCTCCAATTTGGGATTTGGTAAAGGGAGAGAGACTTACTGAGTAAAACAGCTCAATTGTAATATAGCTTGGCTGCAGAATAGCAAAACTGTGATACAGCCCAATAGTGGAACAGCATGGCTCTTTCTGGCCAGGGCAAAAGCCAGGATAACACAGTCTTCAACAGCAATTGAAATTTAGCTCCCTGAGCCAAAGGCAAGCTTACTTATAGAGAAATCCCCATCCTTGGTTCCTGATTGGTCTGTCCTCACGCAAGTGAGGACTCCAAATCCTTATAGTTTGGTCCAGAAACTACTGTCTGGTAAGAATGGAGCCACTCTGATTGGTTGGTGAAGATGCTAGTGAGGCTATTACAGCAGCACAGCTCCAACTGGACAGAGAAAGTCTCAGTCCTATTGGTTGAAATAGGATTCCAGGAACTCCTTTGTAAGGGCTGGCTCAGATGGCAGGGACACAGTACAGGCAGGCGGTTCAGTGCAGTCTTCTCTCTGAAGTGTGGTTTTGCAAGGGAAGCCCCTGTTTAGCAATGGCTACTAGGCTCATTTTAAAAATTTGAACCCAATCAGCCACCAGGAGCCCTTCTTAACTGGTATGCTGATTCTCAGGGTCAACATAAGTGAAAGTTTAACTGGATTGGAAACTGCTAAACAGTTTTCCAACTTGAGAGCTGGCAGTCCTCTCACCTTTTATTTTCTAATAACTGACAATAAATTCACCTGGGTGGGGAGGGGGAGACAAGTAAAGTCTATAGATTACCAGCGCCCTCTCATGGAAATTCTGAATCAGTATATCTTTTGGAGCTCAGGAATTTCTTTTTTTAAATGTGTGCCAGGAAGGATTTCTTCTCTTTAGGTAAGTTTTAGAAACAATGAATGTAGCCAAGGTTTTCAGATCCTGGGGGATTAAAAAATACCTACTCCCAGCTCCCATTTCCAGAACTTCTGGTTTAATTGACGTCTGGAAAAGTTCCTTGGGAGATGCTAATGTCCAGCGATTAAGGGAGAGTGGAGAGGAAAAGGCTTTGAGGTCCCACAGACCTGGGATAATCGCAGAGGAGGTCCCATCTCAGGTAGCTGTTGCTGCATGAAACCCCCCACTCCTACCGCAAGTAATGGCTGGCCCGAAGTTTTATTGCCTCTCATGGGTCTGTGAGCTGACTGGGCTCAGCTGAGAAGTTCTGTTGCTCTTGCTGGGGTTCTTTCA